AAAAAGTTGGAGCAGCAGCAGCAGCAGCAGCAGCAGCCATGTCTGGTTAGCTGGCTTGCAGCAACATCCAATGAAAGATGGCGACCTCCGGCGTGATTTCGCGGATTCCCCCAACCCCCCCCTCCTCCCTCCCTCTCCCCCCGATTCCCTTTGAATCAGTCTAATATTCAGTTACCAGACAAGCTAAATAAAACATCACAAAGCAGATGACCCCCCCCCCCAGCGTCTGGTACTCACCTGTCCCTCACTGCGCGGCGATGCAAACACACTGAGGAGGTGAGAGGAGGGCTGCGGCCTTCACTCAGGCTGTATGCGCAGGGTGTTAGCTAGCAGCTAGCTCTGTAACAACCGGCTTACAGCTCAAAAACCTCACCGCAGATACTCTTCAGATTACAGCGGGGGGGGAAAGAGTCACAACAAGCTTCAATGTAACGACGAAAACAACGCCCCCGAAAACTGTCCGCAACAAAAAACAAACGGGCTCCCCGAGCTAGTTAGCAAAGTGAGCTAGCTCAGTTAGCTCGACTATCAACTTTGTGCAGCTCGATGGATCTGGATTTCGACTGGTCGACTGCGGGCTCTACGGGGAGGGTGAGTCACGGAGAAGAAAGCGACCGAGATAACCCCCTGAAACTGAGAAATGTACGTTTATTTCGTCTGAAACCGTCCGATCGATCAAACACTCGTTACGGCTAAAGATGAGCGAGAAGGGGGGATTTCGGAATGGAGAAGTCGCCGTTTCCTTTCCCTTTCGTGTGCAAGCACAAAGATCGTCTATGTTACAGCCGATGAAGCACCGAAGACAAAAGGACTACAAAAAAGTTTTTGTTTTTTTGTGTTAAGCGTCACAAGATGTAGCCGACTAACCGCTACGGAAGTCGATTAGGGCCAGACATGATTAGAAATAAACAATAAGAGGAGAATGATTGTTTTGGTCCATTATGCAATTCGAGAAACAGTAGAAATGTCGAGAATTAAGTGGAAATATTGTGACAGAATAAGTAAAAAAAATAATGAGAAAAAAGTTGAGATACAATTTTGGAAATAAAGTGGGAATCGCAAGAAAAATTGTAAAATGTCGAGAATAAAGTTAAAAAACAATTTTGAGAATAAAGTCGGAATATCCGGGGAGAAGTCGAATGGTTCGAGAATAAAGTAAAGAAATAGAATTTCAGCAAATTTCGACTGAAGCCTATCTTCTTATTCTATAAAATGAAGTCGAAGGGGTCAGACATGAGAAATAAATAATAAGAGGAGGAAGATTTTTTTTCCCATTATGCAATTCGAGAAACATGTAGATACGTCGAGAATTAAGTGGAAAAATCGTGACAGGATAAGTAAAAAAAATTAGAAAAAAGTTGAGATACAATTGTGAAAATGAACTGGAAATGTTGAGAAAAATATTAAAATGTTGAGAATTAAGTTGAAATACAATTTTGAGTATAAAGTTGTAATATCCGGGGAGAAGTCAGAAGGTTGAGAATTAAGTAAAGAAATAGAATTTCAGCTAATTTCGACTTTAATCTCAAAATTGTATTTAATTTCATGTTAAATAATAATAATTATATAGATAATAATTCTGATAATTCTTATCTTACTATTTTATGTAGTTAGTTTGGATTCCGGATGTTTTTAATTTAATTTAAACACCTAGCTGCTTGAGGGCCAAGCATAAGAAATTGACAATGAGAGGGGAAAGATATTTTTTTTTGCATTACGCACTTTGAGAAATTAGTAGAAATGTTGTGAATTAAGTGGAAATATCGAGAAAGAAAATGTCGAAATTTTGAGCTTAAAGTTGAGATACAATTTTGAAAATAAACTGGAATATCGAGTAAAATGTTAAAATGTTGCGAATAAAGTTAAAAAACAATTTTGAGAATAAAGTCTGAATATCCAGGGAGAAGTTGAATGGTCGAGGATAAAGCAAAGAAATGTAATTTCAGTAAATTTTGACTTTCAACTGAAGCCTATCTTCTTCTATAAAATGAAGTCGAAGGGGCCAGACATGAGAAATAAATAATACGAGGAGGAAGGTTTTTTTTCCCCATGATCCACCTTTAGTCGAAATACTGAGAGACAAAAAGTCGAAAATTTGAGATTAAATTTGTGATATACAGCTGTGAGAATAAAGTCCAAATGTGGAGAAGAAAAGAAAGTAAAAAGATCAAGAATGAACTGGAAAAGTTGAAATATTTTGGGGTAAAGTTGAAATGTCGAGAATAAAGTTCAGATACAATTTTGAGAATAAAGTCAAAATATCAAAGTAAAAATTCAAAATGTCGAGACTATTGTATTTAAATTTTATGGCAGACGAGTAGGGCCAGGTATTAGAAATAAATAATGAAAGGAGGAAGATTTTTCTACATTATTTACTTGGAATTAAGTGGCAATGTGGACCATATTTCTCCTATCGTAACTTTCCTGGACATCATTTTAATGAAGATATTACATATTTTCCTTGTTAGCACTAGTTCCCATTATTTTTCCAGAACAAGTG